GAGCCGGAACCGGAACCCCTGTGGGAGCTCTCAGGCTGTTATGTTAAGAACAAGTTTGTACCCCCTGATTAAAGTGCCAAATGTTGCCTTCAAAGGGCTTCTAACTTAATACCAATAAAAACCTAAAGAAGAATGTGATAAATATCTTTAAACAGCTAATAAAATTCTGTGAGATGATGGTGGATCTAGCACTTGAGAGAAGCAGGCAGGAGGATCAGGAGTTCAAAGCCAACCTGAACTACTTGAAACCTCTCTCTCTCTGAAACCTTGGTTTTAAAAGAATAGTAATAAGGGCCTGGAGAGATGGCTCAGTGGCTAAGAGCATTGGCTGTTCTTCCAGATTCAACTCCAGCACCCACACCCTCACAGACAACATCCAGGCCAATCACCAATGCACATAAAAAAAAAATTTAAAAAACAACAAAATCAGAGGCTGGAGAAATGATTCGGCTATCAGGACATGTGCTGCTCTTTCCAAAGAACTAAGTTCGGTTCCCAGCACCTGCAGCAGGAAGCTCACAATTGCCTTTAGGTTCAGCTGCAGCTCGTGTGAACAAACTCAGCTTTACTCATACTCACTGATGCAAGCGTGCGCGTGAAGACACACACACACACACACACACACACACACACACACAATTACAACTAAAACTTAGAGGCTATAAGGCTGCTTTTCTAGACTGCCCGAGTTCAATCCTTAGCATCCACAGGGCGGCTCACAAACGTCTTTAACTCCAGTCCCCGATCTGATATTACACATGCTCGCATCCTCTGAGCCATCTCTCCAGTCTCCATATGAGACCCCAGTGAATCATGAAAACAAAACAGAATGGTGACGCAGCATTGGTTATCAAGTGCAAGGTCCTGGCTCCTGCAAAGAGGGTGGGAGTGAAGGAAAATGAACTGGACATGTAGCTCAGCTGAATTCTTGCCTCACAGGCTTAGGATCCTGGTTTCCATCCACTCCACGACACCACACGCCCCCGGCACACCTCCCACACAACACACAAAGAAAACTGAAAGTGACAGAGAGGTGTGACCCATTGTTTTCCCCACAGAAATCCTTTAATGTCACTTGCTGCTCTAAGTGATTTAGCCTAGAAGAGGTGTCAGGAAGCGTGGGCTGAGGATGCAGACGGGCAGGGCACAGAATTCCACTGACTGCCTCCTTCCTCATCACTGCTGAATGAGGCTACATGAAGCGTTCTTCCCAGAGAAGCCCTAAGTGTGGAGGAAGAAGTGGCCTCCTAAGGAGAGTTTCTCCATGACGGACAACGGACACAGCAGTTTGGAAGGGATTCTGTGTCAGAGGTGGAGCTGGATTTCAGTTAAAGGCAGAATGGAATGAGGAAGACTGGGACAAATGTGGATGGGGGAAGGGAGCAGCCTGGTCAGGCGAGGCAGAATACCACCATTTGCATTATTGTTATATGTATTTGCACTGTTATCCTGGAAAGGGTCTCACTGTGCAGACCAGGGTGGCCTGGTCCTCTCAGAGATCCATCTGCCTCTGCTTCTTCAGTGTTGGGGTTAATTGAATGCACCCCCACACCTGGCAGAATACCATGCTCATTTGAAGAGAAGAGAGGGCGAAAGCAACTTTTGAGGGTGGATCTCTGGAAACTCAGGCTTCAGATCTTCCTGCCTCCAATGAACGGGTGCTGGGTTATAGATATGGATATAGATACCCCATCTGGTTTAGAAGCATATTTTAAATGCTAAGGGTGATTTATTATTAATTACCCTTACTAAATGCTGAGCAATTTAATATTTATATTTTATATTTATTTTCTTATATTTTTCGTTTATTTTGAGGCAGGGTGTCATGTAGCCCAGGTTGGCCCTGAACTCCTAGCCCAGGTTGGCCCTGAACTCCTTACTTCATTGTCCAGGGCCTGGAATTATTATGGAGGCTACCACAGTTGACTTAGAAGCACATTTTGAATGATAAGATTAATGAGAATTATTTTTTTAATCATTTAATAGATAGGGTTTATGTAGCCCAGGCTAGTCCTGGCCCTCTTACCTTACCTCCTAAATGTTAAGATTAAAGGTGTGTGCCACACAACACTTGGCTGACAAGAAAGCAACTTAAAAATCTTTTCATAGCCACTGTCTCTGAGAAGGGAAAACAGGCTGTAGGGTCGGGTGTGGGTGGGACTTTTTTGCTTGTCTTTGAGAAGTCTGTCTTAACGGTGCGTGTTGTTCCAGAGTGGCTGCTCAGTGAAAACAGAGATAGGGCGATAGGAGGAAGTCAGTGGAATCCTGTGCCCGTCTGCATCCTCGTCAGTAGAATCTTTTGCCCCGCCCGTCTGCATCCTCGTCAGTGGAATCCTGTACCCTGCCCGTCTGCATCCTCGTCAGTGGAATCCTCTGCCCCGTCTGCATCCTCATCAGTGGAATCCTGTGCCCGTCTGCATCCTCGTCAGTAGAATCTTTTGCCCCGCCCGTCTGCATCCTCGTCAGTGGAATCCTGTACCCTGCCCGTCTGCATCCTCGTCAGTGGAATCCTCTGCCCCGTCTGCATCCTCATCAGTGGAATCCTGTGCCCGTCTGCATCCTCGTCAGTGGAATCCTGTGCCCCATCTGCGTCCTCGTCAGTGGAATCCTGTGCCCTGTCTGCATCCTCGTCAGTGGAATCCTGTGCCCCGTCTGCATCCTCATCAGTGGAATCCTGTACCCTGTCTGCATCCTCATCAGTGGAATCCTGTACCCCACCCGTCTGCATCCTCACGTTATCCTCAGCTCACACTTCCTGAAGCCCCTTCTCCTGCCTTCCTGCAGGCTAATCCACTTTAGAGCAGCAAGTGATGTTGGGGGATTTCTGTGGGGAAAACAATATACATCAAGGCCATGTGCTGCACGCAGCACGTTTAACTGAGCCGGTCTTCAAGGCTCGGAGTTGAGCAGAGGGTCAGCGGAGCACAGTAGGAAGTGACAGACAGTGGAATAAAGATGCCGGGCATGCTATTAGCCGAGTTAGGTCTCGCTGCCAAGGGTTGATCTGCAATATTTCTGGGATCAGTTTGTTTACCCTATCAAGCCCTTTGTGTTCTTCCTGGATCCTGAGTCAAATGACCGCAAGTGATTTCATCTAAAGCATGCAGAGAATGTGAAGAAATCAAAGTCTTCCTGTGATAGGGGCTACATGTCCAGAAAGGCAGTCTTTACCCAATAGTCAGCATGTTTTTGTTACAAGATATAAAGGCATTGGGACAGCTTAGGTCCCTGAGAATTGCCCTCAAATCGAAGTTGGGACTTGCGATAGGTACTGGCTGAGCAGGACCTTGGGAGGTTATCTTAATGTTTATCTTACATAGGCTCTTATAATAATTACTGGATTCCAACAGGTGACGTTTGTGTACTTGATGTAGGGCTGGTGTAAACACCCAGAAAATGGATGCTGTAACATGAGCAGGCTATAGAGCCACCAGCCACTTTCAGAAAGGTCCTTGCTATTAGGAGGCTTATATTGCTTTTATTCAAATTTCCCTGGGTTTGTAAACTTGGCTTCCGGGTCAAACTTTCCCTTAACTTTGACAAGTCAAATTGCACTACTTTATCAAGCTTACTTATTTACAACCTTGATTTTTATAGTACGGCCTTTGTGCAGAAAGCCAAGATAAAGGGTGGCTAACTAAGGACTTGTGTTTGCATTTTGGGGGGCATCTTCTTTGTGTATGCAGGGATCCTTTTGCTACTGTGAAAAGGTGAAAAGCGCCCCCTTTGTCTTTGTTATTTATGGAGGAATGCTGGGGGGGGGGGGATCTGCAATTCCTCCAGTCCTAAAGGCATTTTACTGCTGTCTTACAAGGTGAGGCTGATCAACACACACCAAAGGACACTTTAACATATCAAATCCTTCCGCAGCCCATTTCAGTCACCGCTCCTTAGCTTTGGAGAAGCCTCCCACGGTACTCTCCTAGGTTCCTCTACCAGACAGGCCTTCCAGAACTCTGATGGGAAAGAGTACTAATGCGTCACAGATCCCTGCACAGAAACCTTGGCTTTCTGTCTCCTCCTCTGATAAATGTTTATTACTGACTTGCTCTTTCTTCGTTTCCTCTCCGGGGCTTTCACCGGGTTTGAAAAGCATGTATTAAACAATAGACATAGCAACCATTCTTTACACCAGATGAATAGGCCCATAAAAGCTACAGTCTACAGACCAACTGAATAAGCTAATTTAGCAAATGCCTGTGTGCCTTACCCAGCTGGGGGTATCGCTGAGGTAGGTTTTTTTCCCTTAAGACTACTTTAAATGAACCAAAAAGCTAAAGTTAATTACAAATGAGTGTCAAAATATCTTTCTTCCGTACTTCCTTCCTTCCATCCGTCCTTTCTTTCTTTTCTTCTTTCTTTTTGTCTGAAATGATTTAAACTTGGGCAGCATTGGAGACTAATTGAGCTAGTAGTGTTCATGGAGGTGTGCTGGAAAAGCCATTGGCCTTTTGGTGAGTGTGAGAAATGCAACGGGGATGGGCAAAGTTCGACTCGGAACTTATCCTTAAAACTACAACCATCAAGACCAGCTCTGTGAAGAAGGCTGGAAAGCTTTCTTGCTGCTGATGGTATTAAGTTGATTTTACACAATTAAGCTTGAATCATTGCAGCTGCTCTGTCATTGTTAACGGGTTGGGTTAAAATGTCCAAATGCTTCCAAGCCCCCACTGATCTAATAAGAAGCCTGCACTAGGAGCTTCCAGTGTTTCCTAAATACACATTTAAAGATCCTTTTAGGATTGCATTTTCCCAGTGCTAGATTTTCTAAATTGTTAAAATGTTCAAACACACGCAATGAATTAGCCTCATAACCACTCAGACTCAGCAACCATGAGCATCTTCCCGTTGTCTTCCTGAACTACAAGAGCGGTTTCCAGAGGCCACATGCTCTCGTTCTTGCGTGCACAACGTGTCTCTCAAACATTTGCATCACTGTGAATCACGATCTTATTACAGACCAGGACTAAAGGCAGACAGTTGAGGACAGAGCCACCCACCTTAGGGGAAGGGCACGCGGGCATGGAGTGAAACGCATCTCCTCCGGAAGCAGTGGTGTCTGTGTAATTTTCTTTTCCTGGGGAAATTAACTGAAGGAAAGAGAAATAAGAACAATTTTAAAAACACACACACACAAAGATCATGGTATCTGGAGAACACAGATCTGCTCTGTGTTTAAATTAACTGAAGGAAAGAGAAATAAGAACAATTTTAAAAACACACACACACAAAGATCATGGTATCTGGAGAACACAGATCTGCTCTGTGGTTATGTTCATATGAGGTTAAGCTGTAAACAGATTATTGGGGTGCACAGACATAGTGGTAATCCCTGACACCCCGGGTTAGAGGGAAGATCTCTATGGGGACATCCTCCTGGCATAGTTTTTCCACAGCGTCCTTGGACTTCTTAATTAGGAAACTCATGTCCAGGACAGTCTGTGTTTTAGAAAACTAGAAATCAAAATTTTGTATTAGGGATTGAGTAGCAATTGCTACTGGCAGGACAAAAGGACCGGCTACCTTGTAACTTTTTCCTTATGTATGTAAAAGAGTTGACGTGGGGGAGGTGTCTTCATTTGAATAACCTCAACTAATTCAAAGGCAGTATCTGATTTTCAGTCCAGGGCGCACCGAATTCCATCTAGCCAATCAGCTCTGTGGTGACAGCCGTGCATGTGACTATTGTCATCTTTCTGTTGAAACTTGAGGCTGCAGCTTATCAGAAAACTTATAACAGACACTTTGCTTGAAAAAAATGAAGGCATTCTGACCGCACACACCCTTTACGCCTTCTCCTTCCCGAAGTTCGTCGTGATAAAGACGCAGAGGCAGCAGCCAGCGGGCCAGTTCATCAGCTCACATTGTTGCATCCTGATTTTACACAGCACCAACCCAATTCATATTGCCCACCTCCAATCAGCATGCATGCTCTCTTAATTCCCTGATTTGGACCTGCCTTTTACCTAAATCTAGGTTTATTAATAGACCAGCATTCTCAGTTCTTTGTACTTGTAAGGACAGCATACAATACTTTCAAGACTGATTATCTTAGAAAAATTGTAAACTATATATCAATATTTTAAAAGGGAGCTACTTAGAAAAAAATGCCCAAATTGTATCTCCCTCCCCCCGCCCTCCCCATGAGAATAACTAACGTGGTTCAGAAATTCTTAGTTATTTCCCCCAGTACTTTTAATTGCTAGTGCACCTAAATCATTCTCATTATAAATAGGAGGCTTAGAGACCCAGAAGTACAAACAGGCAAACAAACAAGCTCCCCAGGCCAATGGTTTCAAAGACCTACCTGGCTTCTGTTCGGTGATAAAAAGAAGACTCGTTGCAAAGATAAAAAACACCAAAAAATAATGCTGAAATCTCATTTTTTTTTCTCCCTTTTTTCCCCTTACACACAAGTGAACAATAGCTCTCCAAGTAAAGAAGCAGTCTGTAAATACTCTGAGCAGTATCTGTCCAGCTCACCCCGCATCCTACAGCCAGACTTCAGAGGGCTGCCAGCGGCTTTTTTCCAGAGGAGGTTAAGGATCACATCAGACAAGGTTACTGGTGCCCTGGGCTGTGGTCGGAGCTCCCGAGCCTCAAGCCCCTCCTCCGTTCCTCTCTGCTTCTCCCGTCACTCCCCTTTATTTCCATAAGCAAATATTGGTGAAGTGGACCATTCAGGCCTGCAGCAACTTCAGTGGGAAGTCTCCCCCTCGAAAGTTCCAAGGAGAGCAACTCCGAGTCAATCTGTTTATGAAGGAAAATGTAAAACAAGGCACGGCCGGCCTCTTCTCTGCATTTGCATCTGTTTAAACTTTGCATTGCCCATATTGGTCCCACATGCAGAAACCGGTGGAAATGACAGGAAGTTTCTCTTTTGTCCTCTCGCAGAAGGAATGCAGAGCTTTCATTTAAGATTCCCAAATGCTTGGTGCCAACTCTGTGTTGTAGCGTTTTTCTCTTTGCCAAGCCTACTACAAAGTGGTGCCTATTTATATTAAACCTCCAAATGGCTTAATTTGTGTGGGTTTCCATCATCAGAGAGTCCCGGAGTTTAGAGTGTTCAGAAGGAAATCTGCGAAATGTTTATCTTTTTATTTAAGTGCAATTTAAAAAGTAATGGAGATCATTTTCATCTGCAGACATCTAAGAGTTTTCAGAAGTTCAGGCAAGCAGGGCCCAGACACAGAATCAGTCTCTGTTGTAAATGTGTGCGTGGTGGAGTGTCAGGTAACCACAGGCACACAGACCATATTATAGATGGAGAGAATTTCTAGTTCATCTCCAAAGAAACTAAAGGAGTCTAGTTTTGTCTTGCACACATACCAAGAGCTCCTGTTTAAGGGGTTTCTTACCTGTAATAAAAAGCTCTTATACGTGAGAATTATTGGAATTATTTTAAGCCAGAAGGACACGTAGCTCTACTCTGAAATATAAACAGACCCAAGATATTAAATCTAGAGTGCATGTGAGTGGTTGTGAACTCTTATATTTTGTTATATTTGTTATATTTGGTGTCTTTAGAGTCAGGTGGTGGGCACATACAACCTTGGGCTTCTTAAGGTTTGGAATTCATGCGCAATTTGTTTTGATCTTACAAATCAATCTGTAAAATTCCATCTCTGCCTAGTTATGCATTGCAGTTTATACAGAATGTTTTCTAAAACTCTTTAAAACAATTTTTTTAGAAATTATTTAAGGCCCACTTTGTCAGAAGGCAGAGGCAGGCAGATCTCTGTGAGTTCTAAGACAGTCTGGTCTACATACTGAGTTCCAGTACATCCAGGGCTACACAGCAGAGAGACTACATTAATAATAATAATAATAATAATAATAATAATAATAATAATAATAATAATAAAAGGGTATTTAGTATGTATAGGTGTTTTGTCTGCAGGGATGTCTGTGCACCATGTATGTGCAGTGCCCACAGAGGCCAGAAGAGGGCATCAGATCTCCTGGAGCTGGAGTTACCGACAGCAGTGAGCCCTGGAATGAACCCAGGTTCTCTGCTAGAGCAGATCCTGCTCTCAACTGCTGAGCCATCTCTCCAGACTTGTTTTATGTTTTTTGGCTTTGTTTTCTTTTAAGAATTTTTAATCCAGGAGCGGTGGTGATGCATGCCTTTAATCCTAGCATTTGGGATGCAGAGGAAGGTGGATCTCTGAGTTGAAGGCCAGTCAGGTCTAGAGAGTAAGTTCCAGGACAGCCAGGGATATGCAGAAAAACTTTGTCTCAAAAAGCAAAACAACAACAAAACATTCTTTTTTTTTCTTTTTTTTTTAAATATTTATTTATTTATTATGTATACAATATTCTGTGTGTATGTCTGAAGGCCAGAAGAGGGCACCGGACCTCATTACAGATGGTTGTGAGCCACCATGTGGTTGCTGGGAATTGAACTCAGGACCTTTGGAAGAGCAGGCAACGCTCTTAACCTCTGAGCCATCTCTCCAGCCCCCCAAAACATTCTTTGAATGTATGCTGTGTGTATGTTTGCCCAAGGAGGGCAGAAGAGGGCATTTGATAACCAGGAGTTCAAGTTACAGGCAATTGTGAGCCCCAATACTGGTGCTGAGAACCCAGTTCAGGCCTTCTGAAAAAGAAGCAAGGGCTCTTAACTACTGAACTGAGTCTTCCACCCGAGTACGCAGTCTTTTTGTGAATGAAATAATGATCTAATCCAGACATCAAACATTGATTTGAAAATAACTCCCAGGTGGGGTGACATTCACCGTTAATCCCCATAGTTAGGAGACAGAGTGCAGGCAGGTTTCTCTGAGTTTAAAGCCTTTCTGGCCTACACAGGGAGTTTAAGGCCAGCTTGGATTGCAGAAGGAGACCCTGTTCTTACTGGAGAAGCTGGGGTTCCCCTTCATGAATTCTTAACCTGGATCAATAAAAGAGTTTTAAAACAGAATTGAAAGGAAGGTCAGGATAGTTTTGTTAGAGTTTGATGGATAAAAAGGACAGGAACGCCAGATGTAAATCTTGGAAGCTGCCCAGAAGAGAAAGACGAAGAGGAAGAGAGGAAGCCATGACTCTTGTGTGTGGCCTCACAGTGAATGATGGCAGCAGCTTCAGAGAAAGCAGAAAAGCCTAGAGAGCCACAGAGAGCAAGTACAGGTTTGGGAATGTGTTAGAAAGAAAAAGAATAGGTGAAGAAAAAGGGAAAGTTAGACTTTTCTGAGTTAAAGGCCAGAGTGAGCAGCTCAGAACGGAGGATGGTGGCCATACTACGCGAGAGCGCTGGCCTGGTTATCCCCTATATGGAGCTAATTCGCAGCGGAACGGTAAAGGCACACTTTTTAATCCTTACACTTGGAAGGCAGAGGCAGGCAGATCTCTGAGTTTGAGGCTAGCCTGATCTACAGAGTGAGTTCCACCTGTCTCGAAAAGCCAAAAGGAAAAAGGAAAAATCGTGTGTCACCACACCTGGCTTCAACAGTTATTTTTACAAGTACGGTGAGAAATGATTACAGAGCTGATGACAACCGAAATGACAGGCACCGAAACGCCAGGCACCGAAACGCCAGGTGCCGAAACGCCAGGCACCGAAACGCCAGGCGCAGAAACGCCAACAGTGCCACCTGGTTAGCATTTCTGTGAACGTGAGGCAGCAGTCACGGTCAATCATTCTTCTTGGCACTAAAGAAGGAGGTGTGGAGAAACCTTGGCCAGAAGCAGAGTCAGAATGATGCAAGCAGCTCTACCGAGAGCACCCAGCATGCTGCTGGGTGAAATAATAATTTAATCCCGGCACTCGTGAGGGAGGAGGAGTTCAAGGCCATTCTGGACTACGTCGGAATTCTGGGCTAGCCAGAGCTACTTGTAGATCCTGTCTCAGAAAAAGAAAAGGAAGGTATCCAAACTGTCTTCTCTGTTTTCATCTCCCCATAGCTTCGCACAGCTCTCGCCCTTCATCAGAGAATATCAGAGAAGTTTCCTTTGCAATGGACTATGTACAGAGTTGCCCCCGGCCAAAGGGTAGAGAATAAGACCACGGTGTGCTGCGCCCTAAATGGGACATAAGTGTCACACCCAACCCTAAGACTCAGGGAATGTGGTACGAGAGGACTGGGAAGAATGTAAGAGCCAGAGGTTGGGGGAGAGGCTGCAAACTGGTGTCTTCTGGACATAACCTGGCTGATGAGTTCACGAACTCACTGCAACTGTGGTCATCTGCAGAAGACCTGCAAAAGATAACATCCACCGTCATTTCATCAGGGGAGGTGGGAAGGACTCCTGGGCCCCAACCCTCCCTAAGGGACCATTATCAGTTACTGTGGAAAGGAGCACCCCTATTCCTCAGTGGCCTAGTCACTTAGAAGTTGTCCATGCTCCGGCAAGTAAACCCCCACCTGCCTCACTCAGCGGTCACACACAAAGGCACAAAAGTGGGGGTCTGGGGAGGGAAGAAATATTTCCATGGGAGAAGCAGGGGGTAGGACAAGTCAGTGGTGGCAAAAAGGACTAAAATTCACTATACACTTGTAACATAACATCAAAGAGGACCTTTCCCCTCCTTTTGTTGTGTGTTTTGTGTTTTGATTTTTTGAGACACGGTTTCTTTGGTACCCTTGGGTGCCCTAGAACTAGCTCTGTAGACCAGGCTGGCCTCAAACTCCCAGAGATCCGCCTGCCTCTGCCTCCTGAGTGCTGGGATTAACGGCGTGCGCCACCACTGCCTGGCTAATGAGTATTTTTTAAAAAGTTATGCTAACAACGTATTTCTTAAACAAAGTTCAGTAGAATCCCTTCAAAATTAATTTTAGCCTGGAACTCAGGGTGCGGTGGGTCGAATAAGAACGGCCTCCATAGACTCTTGCGTTTGAATACTTGGTCACCAGGGAATGGCACTATCAGGAAGTGTGGCCTTCTTGGAGGAAGTGCGTCACCCAAGCCAAGTCCAGTGTCTGTCTCTTCTTGCTGCCAACGTGTCAGGATGTAGAATTCGCAGCTCCTTCTCCGGCGTCATGTCTGCCGTGTCCTATCATGCTTCCTGTGTTGACGATAATGGATTAAACCTCTGGATCTGTCAGCAAGCCCCTATTAAATGCTTTTCTTATAAGAGTTGCTGTGGTCATGATGTCTCTTCACAGCAGTAACCCCTAAGTAGGATCCAAAGTGTGACCCTGTGTGGAAATGAGGTCATTGCTTGTTTTGGTGGTACTGGGGATTGAACGCAGGGGCTTGAACATGTTGGGCAACCAACCTATCACTTAGCTATATCCCCACGAGATCTTTGCAAGTGTAATTAACATTGAAGGCATACTACTGTAGGGTGACTGTAGCGCCAACGCTATGGCACGGTTCGCAAGCCGGGCAAGGGCCTGGATATTAAGCAACACAAGAGGCGTGGGTCATCCGTGAAGAGAGAATGCAGAATGCTGTTTATTCAAGCTTAGAAAAGGCTTTATATACCTAACTGCTGCACAGTGGAAATCCCCCAGGCACGTGGAAA